TGCGGAGGCCTAGGCAATCATACACGAAGTGTGATCGTCCCTCGCATAGCCTCCACAGCCCCTCCAGCTAATTCAATCTTTTCTATCTCTCCATCCCTACCTACTTCAACATACAGTTCAATATGACTTTCTCTTCCCATATCCACGCCCTGAATCACATGGAACTTCCAAGATCCCGGCCCTTTTAGGGTTCTAGCTGCAAGCCATCCACAGAGTGTCGATGCGGCAGAACCTGTAGCGGGATCCTCGAATCCTCCTTCGAACATTCGAGTGTGAACTGTCGTTAACCCACGTTCACTTGCTTCTTGGGAGTTGGCATCGTCAAGTACAAAAACATACAAGGCGCTAAACCCGCGCCAAGCGCCAAGATGTTCGTCTGGAATCTGGAGAGAAGAAGTGATGGGTTGGAAATTGGATAAGGCATCCACACTTGTGAGCTGAAGGAGCATGAATGACATTCCTTTCACGATAGATGCAACAGGCTCCGCACCATCTACGCCATTGACGTAGTCGGCTGGTCGAGACGTGATTGTCTGGATTTAGATTTAAGTTCGGGTGAGTGATACGAAGAATGTTCTTTGAAATCGATAGGGATTTGGAGTTTAATGCCACCGTTTGTATTGTGAGAACCAGGAACTTTCGATACAGGGATTTTCCCTGCTTTAGTAGACAGCACGAACGAGTCCACTTTAGGATACATTCGAGATAATAGCCATCCTGCACCAATGGTGGGATGACCGGCAAAGGGGAGCTCTTGGTTAATGGTAAAGATGTCGATCGTAAAAGTAGCGTTGGGATCAGCCTGATTTTCGAGCTTTTTAACATCATGTATAAAAATCGTCTCGGAAAGGTTGAATTCTCGGGCTACGAGTTGTTTCTGTTCCTGCGTGAGACGAGGAGAGTCATCGTCCAGGAGGATGACTGCAAGAGGATTTCCTTGAAAGAGAATTTGCGTGAATACATCGAGAGTGATGAAGTTGACTTTCATCATGGATGTTAGTCACGGAGTCAAACATCCAGAATCGAGTCATTTTTGATTTTCTATTTCGGAGCTCCGTAGGTAGTTTCAGATCACACGGTCCTGAGCTGAGGTTGAAGATTGTCATTTTTGGTATACTAAGTACCGATGTTGCCGCAGGAAAGAAAACTAACGTCGAACGAAGCGCGTTTTACGCTTAGCATTTACGAAGTACTGTCCTCAGATTCGAAAGAAGATCTATGTATCGATCGAGCGGAGGCAGTATTGCCGATTGATTCCGTGGACCTAAACACGCAGAATCAATTGGATCTGCAACTCTGAAGCCTCTTGAAGCTTTGGGCTCACCTAAACGAATTTGATTCTGACGAAAAGGTGCTCGATGAGCTTGAGTCGGAGTGAATAGGGTAGACAAAAGTGGGTATCAATGAAAAGTAGTCCAAAGGAAGGTTCGAACGAGTTATTAAAGTCCGCTTGGCTTCCTGCCATGTTGATCGTCCGGTACGCAAGGATTGAGTATCGATGTCCAAAGTGATGGTGCAGTCGTCCACGAATTTGGCGAAGCCAGCAAATCGACTCGAAGATACCAAATCGGTCACGAAATAATGGACTATGTAGTGGATAATTCGGGTTAGTGAACAGATAGTTTCAGATACCCGTGCAAGGAGCAGATCATTTGGCGTAGTTCGCTCGATCCAGTTCCGAAAGTCATCGAGAAGGAGGAACGCATGTTGCTGTAGAGCTGGCGATGATGGAGGCCAGCAGCTACCGAAAATCTCCAAGAGTGAATATATGTCATCGGTGCATGCTCGACCAGTAGTGAGGTGATTTCGCATGGATGCAATTATTTGATTCCAGAGTTCTAATGGAATATTCAAACCGAGTTCAGCATTGTGAACGAAAAACATATACCTTCACCCAAGTCAGGTACGCCGTCACCGCGGTATACTAGTGAAGCCACTTTCTGTAACGAGCTGGACGCGCTGGATGAGGATCCCATAGGATTATTCAATTGACGAAGTGATAATTCAGTCGCAAATCTCCGTACAGCAAAATCTGATTCATCCCAAGAATGTGACTCCAGAAACTGGAGGTTCAAAGTATCACGAGAGCACTCTGGATCCTGTTGAGTAGCATATGCAAAATCAAACGTGGAACAACTCTGAAGACAGTGGAATATATGTCTCGCCATCACGACACTATCGCCAAAAGTCACCGTAATCCACTGAAGACCACGCTGCAAAAATACAGTTCCTGATTCCTCGAGAGCCACGCCCTTAACAAATGAAGGTCGCATGATACCCAATCTGTGGACTCAAGTTTCCTTCGAGAGACCAAGGAGAAAAGTCCAAGGACAAGTTTATAAAACAACCAGGATTGTGGTGACTTGTACGGACAAGGAAAGATCTCCGTGTCAAGAGACCTTTGTCGTTGTCCCACCATGACAATGTAACAGGCCGGCAGAATAGAAGTCATCACGACGATAAACATGGTTAATCCAATGACGGCAGATATCAGGCCTGCCACAACTGGATGTAGACTCCACAAGAGATCCAACAGGCCCGCAAAGAAGAGCACCAAGGCAAGTTGCAGAAGCAAAGGAAGGACATTGAGAATTCCTGGAACGCCCCATCTCTGCAGGCTCTCAAGGCGCATCTGGCGAAGCTCAAGAGCGAGGTGATGAGAAACCGAGGCATCCTTTTGATATTCGCGAAGCCATTGTTTGCACAATATACCAAGGAGAACCGTGGCGAGACTGATGGTGAGACTGAGGAACCAGAACGCGTTAATACGAACGGAAGCTGGGGTAGGCGGCGCTAGTGTTGTGACGTCTAATGCTCTATTGTAAAGTTCGGTGGTGTGCAGGAATCGAAGCAGAATAGCCTCCTGCGGACTCGGAGTGGCCTGAAGCCATTGGTAAGACTGCGTGGCAAAGGCTGTGACCGTTGCCGAGAAAAGTCCAGCAAATACAAGGAGCGTGTCAATATCTTCTCTCCATCCTTTGCATTTTTCATCGTCAAATCTTCTGACCGAGTTGAGACACTCTGTCCAGGGATCTCCGTTATTGGGAGGAGCGCAGAAATATGGCTGGTTTTCTTTCCATAATAGTGTCTGAATAGAAATTTAAGACAGATATGGTATGGTGTGGCTCAAGGCTTACCGGTTCAATTCCGGAGTTTACATCGGGATTTTCATCATTCTTGGGGTTTAATAGGACAATGAGTAATGCTACAAAACAAGCAAACACTACACACCGATCTGGCAAGTTTTTCTTGGTTTCCCGCCTCTTTTGGAGTAGAGCCACTCGAGTTAGACATAGTGAGTGCTTACAGAATGCTTGTCCACTGGAGGGGGCGACGCGACCTCAACTGACAAGTTACAAAATCTCTGCCCGTTGGAGGTCCGGATCCTTGTATCCATGAGATTTAATGTCAACAGCTTTTCTGAGTGTGGCGTTGCCAAGGATGTAATCAATCAATAGAATTAGATACGCAAGCCATTTTTAATTGATTCATTGTAAGTGCTACGCAAATCGACGCTCAGCAGAGTCAAGATTCGGATATTGAGGAATGCTTGATTACCCACAACAACGAAGGTACCAACGATGCTCAAGACTCATCTCTCAAAGTTGAAATAGTGCTCGATCCAACCACGATCTACTAATAGCTTTCGGCATTCAAAGAATGTATGTACAATAACCCAGGACATTTACTTTAGGCTGCGATGAGATCCAGGTGAACGCACATAACAACTAAAACACATACCGTAAAAACCCATATCTAAACCCAAAGACTCAAGTACCAGCCATTCCAACGACTCCAACGTGATCGCGGATTTTCGCTACATCGCTTGCACTCAGACTACCCTTACTAGCGGCAAGAAAGTCCTCAAAGGCAGTTAAAGCATCAGACTCGGTCGAGAATTGCGTCCTATGGAGATGAGAACCAGTTAGTCTTCATCCAGAAGTCAAAGATACACAGATCGTTCACCGTAAAAACGCGATCATCCTGTTCCAAAAGTCAGGGCTCGATATCGTGACATGATACGAGCCTAACGTCTCTTTCGGAACAGTACTGCCTGGTCCCAACGCCAGATCTGTTGTATCTAATGTCAAAAGGACGTCCTTTTTCGGCTGCGCGTCGAGGTCATCGTGCGATGGAGAAGGAGATAACACGACAGACGGTATTCTCTGATGAGATCTCTTGCCGCTAGGTTTTGGACTACCTTCAAGCAACGACGAAGATACAGAGGGTGTTACTTTAGGTGCCGGTGTCGGTTCAGGAGCACTGATAACTGGCGGAGGTGCGGAAGGATTCCATTCCACGCCTGGCTTGACCATCAAGTTGATCGTGTCTCCATCCTTCACAGTATACTCTTTCAACAGCTTGTTATCAGCGAGAGCTTTTCCTTTGAGAAGAAGGCGCTGCGCATCCGGTGCTGGTGCAGTTGGATTTGAGCTGAAAAGATGTTGCTTGATAGAAGCGATTGTGTCAGTTGGATGAACCCCAGAAAGCGTGTAAGTCGCAGGTGGCTTCGTGGATTTGATTGTCAGATTTAATGTGGCTGGAATGAATAGGATCAGAATAGAATAGTCGCGATATTTTTGGTGAACAGCATACTAGAAGATGAAGATGCAGTTGTTTCCTTTGGCGCTGGTGGCGCCGGTACTGGGACATGAAGAATGGGGACTTTCCGCAACGAATTTTCTGGTGGCTGTTGATAGTCGTCTCCGTAGGTCACTGGCTGCGTGGATATCGTATTCACAAAGGTTTTGATAAAAGCGTGTTCGGCCTGGTCTGCCATGGTGGAACGGAAGAAAGCTGTAAAATTAGTACGTCATTTCACTTTGTTTTCGGTTTTCAACGGAGCCTCGCTCAAAACTCAACTCGATGCGGCTCTGAAAAAAACGTGCCAGACTTTGAACGTTGAACGTTGAACTAGTATATCCATACTTGTTGGAAAAAATAAATATTCTGATTCACTTTTTCGCGTGAAAGTCTCAAGATAAAGACAATGTTGCGATGGCCGACTAGCTCAGTTGGTTAGAGCGTCGTGCTAATATTGCGCAGGTAACTGATGTATTACGCGAAGGTCTTGGGTTCGATCCCCACGTTGGCCATACCCTTATTGAACATATCTTTTTGCGTCGAGGCACATTTCGGACTACATATCATGGTTGGTAAGAACGCTTTGATATTGGCGATTTTACTCGCTTGGATTGAAGTACTCCTTCCTTCCAATATGGTTCTGGACTCTTTGACACCATTTAACAAATAAAATTCCTTATCTACGTACTGGCTAAATATGAAAGAATTGCGGTTACTTATTTAGTTAAGTATTAAGGGATGCAATGCAACAGCGAAAGAAAAATTATCTATACTACCCACTGCCTCGGATTCCTCAACACCTCCATCAACTTCCCCTCCTCTGACAATGCATCCTCACCCATATCCGACATGTACTCCCATCTCGCAATCTCAGGCAAGCTCATCAAGATACTCTCCACGCGCGCACCAGGAGTCATCAACCCAAATTTTGTCCCGCGATCGTGCACGAGATTGAACTCGACATACCTGCCTCTGCGGATAAGCTGCCACCTGCGCTGGAGGGGAGTATACACCATGTTTGCACGCTGAGACAAGATGGGTACGTATGCTGGAACAAAGGCAGCACCGAGGCTTTGGACAAAGGCAAAGACATCTGCCTGTTCTCGGGGACGGTTCTCCGTGAGACGCTGGTGTTGACCTTGATGTAGGTCATCGAAAAATATACCACCGACGCCCCGTGTCTCTTTGCGATGCGAAATATAAAAGTACTCATCGCACCAGGTTTTGAGTGATGGATAGAGATCAGCGGAAAACGCGTCACAGGCTGTTTTATAAGTTTGGTGGAAGTGAGTGGCATCTGCAGGATAGAGATAGGATGGAGTAAGATCTGCGCCTCCGCCAAACCACCACGCGAGGACATTCGTAGGAGAGTCAGAGGCAGCGGGATCCGTGATTTCAAAGTACCGATAATTAGCATGAGCTGTTGGTGCATGAGGATTACGCGGATGAATGACCAGACTAATTCCTGCCGCGAAGAAAGGCAATCCACCGGGCGCGTCTTCTGGAAGAGGCATAGAAGTATGATCTGCACGCATTTGTTTTATTGCCGGAGGCGGAAGAGTACCATGGACGATGGAAATGTTCACGCCCGCTTTTTCCAGAATAAATTCTGAATTTTGCGCTGGCGAGCCGTCCGCAGCAAGGGGTGCGGCAAAGACACAGGACTGGCCCAAACCTCCTTCAGGCCTTAGCCAGCTATCGCGCCTGAACTCTGGCGCAGCAGGATCTAGTTTTTCCAGGGCTAGTACGATTTCGTCCTGCAGAGAGCGAACCCATTCTTCCATTTGTTCGCGCATCGGTTTGGTAGATGAAGACATGGCGATGGCGATGAAGGAAAGAAATGATAATCCCGTGTTTTGTCTGACATTAACTTGATTAAGCGCCTCGAGTGGTCTAGGGCGGCCCGGCCATATTTCCCGACGCGTCTAAGTCCACTGTCATTGCATCAAGTTAGAAAATGGCGCTAGTGCGCATTTATCATCCTCACTATGCTTAAATCTGTGCAAGTCACTGGTTCAATGAATTCCTCAGTCTTGCTCAGCACACAAGACGAGTGCTGCTCAATTATCAATATTGTAAAGTCTCGGCTCAATGATCCACTCTATTAAAGTATTATATCTGGTTGTAGAAATAGAAGATACAGGTAGCGTTACAGACTATGAGAATACAGCATATGCAATCAGTCAATAGTATTATTTTAAGCGATGTTCCAAGCCAATTCCAAGTACAAGTCGACGGGTATAATCCCTCAATTAAGAGATAGGTATATTGACTTGGTCTAGTTGCCGTGTCTTCCAAGGCCACGAGCAGACTTGCTAACAATCTTGGCCTCGGCTTGCTTGAGTCTGGCACGATGAGCACTAAAATGAAGTAGAGAGTTATGAGTAAACGACACGTGCCCCGAAGACAGGACCAGCTTACTCGTCTTCAGCCTCTTTTTCGAGGAACTTGACATGGTCTCTAGCTTCCTTGACATGATTTCGGGCTTGCTGGAGAGCTCTGTCGGCAGCCTTTTCCGATTCTTCAGCATCGGAAACTTTCTGACGAGCAGCCATTACTGATTAATAGCGTAGTAGTCAGTATGCGTCCGGAAGTTTGCTCGAAAATAAACTTACTGCTCGGGTCATTATGGGGGAATCCATTGCCGCCGAAACGTCCGAACAGACCTCCACTGCGTGTGCTGCCTGCACCACGTTTGAGGCTGTCAGAGTCTGAGGAACGGCTAGTATGGAAAGATTTGTTCGTGCGGTCAGGCGAAGGAGAGCGTTGGCGACGCCCAAAGAGAGTACCCTTGCGAGTAGGTTCTTCCTGAGGAGGAGGAGTAGTTTCGCGTGAGTTTTGTTTGAAGAGAGGCATTATAGATTACTCAGGTGTCTTGGAACGGTGCACTTGTGAGGATGAAAAGAGAAAGCCCCCACCTTTTAAACACCTGGAAGGATTAGACGTCATGGCCCCAGGTTTCCCCAGCGTTCGTCATTGACATTGAATCCACAGAACATAGTGGAGAAGGCACCACCAAAAGCAAGTGAGCGGGATGTACATCTAACATTAGAAGTGACGTAGTACTCGGCATTGCTCAGCCGCTGAGTCACGCGGTCGGAGTTTGAAACCGCTTCTGACGGGTGATCTGACTAACTATAAATACTGGTTGCCACTCTTTTCCTTCCCACCACCTGTCCGCAGCTGTGCACCGTGTTCAGCCAGCGTTCAGCGTTGCAGCTAGAAATGTCGAATAAAATTGTGGTAAGCTACAACCTTCCTGGATGTAGCTGCTTTTCAAGTATAATAACGTCCGTTTTCTGGAGCCTCAAATATATCGAGCAGTAATTGACGATGTCATGGCTGCAATTAAGCCCGAGTTCGAAGAGTATGGTGTTTCTGAAGACGTCCTTGCTGAATTGCAGAATGTAAGTTATTTGGAGAGGTAGTGAAAAAAAGTTATTGGTTGCTAATCGTCGTTTTTCAGAAATGGGAAAACAAAGTTATTGCGTCTCATGTCGCAGACTTTGAAGTAGTCAACGTCCCGCCTCCGCAAGCCCCTCAACATCATCCTTATCAAGCTCATATGGTGATACCAGGTCATCCAGGCTACGCGGCACATAACCCTTATACAGCCGCTCCAGCTGCGCCAGCTCCTAGTGGTGTAAAAGCGGAGCCATTGGATACACGGTACATGCTTAGTGCTCCGCAAATGGCTTACGCCCTTCCTCACCTTCCTGGTCCTGTCTTAAACGGTGCTCGTCCGAATCTGCCACCTCATTACGGTGGTCAAACCAGTGTACTTTCGTTTCCTCCCGGTCCGCCAGCACAAGCTCTGCCTACGAATGGAAATGGGGCACCTCTAGGACGGCCATATGTCCCTCAAGCCTCTACATCTGCACCTGCACCTCCTCCTGCTTCTACATCCGGTGGTGGAGGCAGTGGAGGTCGGATTCCGCAACTTGATGGTCCTTCAGAAGAAGATTCTGATGAGGATTCTCAAACGCCGCCGCCATATGCATCGCGGTCTACCCACCCATCGTTACCGCAGCCACAAGCGTCAACTAGCGCGTCCGCAGACGAGGCAATTAATAGTGACCTGGACGATTCGGATACTGGAGACGAAGAGGAAGCAGACGAGGGTGCTGTCGGTGAGACGGACATTGTCTTTTGCACGTACGACAAGGTACGGGAAATTTATGTCCGCTTTTCGTTATCTGTAGCTGATAGTTCTGCATCCAGGTCGCTCGCGTCAAGAACAAGTGGAAGTGTATTTTGAAAGACGGGATGATCCATGTAAACGGAAAAGACTATCTGTTTTCCAAGTGTACTGGGTAAGTCGTCGGCGTATTGGTAATAGAGTTCTCTACTTATCATCGTGCTTCCAGGGAATTCGAATGGTAGTATCCTGCTCCTGGACATCATGGTTATTTCTCCTCCCTTGCCAATTTGCATGCACAATTATCGTATATATATCGCTTTCATTGTTTGTTACTCCGCATCGTCTTTCCCCCAACGTTGTATCCTATGTCCCTCATTAAAGCAAATACTACATACATCCATACATACACCATTACCTGCCTGCTTTCCCCTCCATAATGCATCATAAAATTATCTATATCGCTGGCCCCTCTGTATCTCCGATAGAAATGCTGGCCTTCTTGATTGGAACAAGCTACTTACGTAAACCCAATTAGTTAAACCAGAACATCGACGAAGTACGCGTTATAATCGATAATCTCTAAATTACTGTCTATTGCTCCTGGTTGACGTTGGAATGTCGACACAGCTTTCGCTTCTTTCTGAAAAAGCGTGTTCGAATTGTGGCCTGCGATATGGAGCGTCCAACACCAGAGAAATTCCGCCGCTATCTCCAGCGGTCGAGTCCTTTCTACAGACCAATGATCCCGTTCTTTCTCCAGAAGAGCATACACTCCGAAGTATGCTTCACGAGGCGGAGAGCATGGCTTCAGATATTGATTTGCAGATTGTGTGTATGCAGGCTAGCATTACTCGACTTTCAGAACAACGAGCAAAGATAAAACAGCATATCCAAGCTTATAAGACTGTGCTCCATCCGATTCGAGAACTTCCCTTCGAGGTCCTCCAGCATATATTTCGATTTTGTATGGCCGAGGAACATCCGATTAGGCAGGTTTCTATCGCTCCATCACCTGACTGCCTACCCATAACAACTAGTCCCTCATTGCCCATTTCTTCAACCTCTTCCATAGACACCAAGAAATCGCCTTGGCGCCTTGGTCAGGTATCTCGTACTTGGAGGTTTGTCACCACCAAGTCTCCAACTCTGTGGTCGACCATCTCTGTTTTAGGGAGCACTAATCGAAACGCGTTACCATTCCTGCTATCACTTCAGCTACAGCGCTCAGGCGATATGCCTTTGTCTGTAACCATTGGCCCTCAGTCACCGACAGATACCATCGCCCTCTTGTGTTCGCATGCTCCGCGATGGAAGTTCCTGTGTGCGGCTCTTCGAACAAAACAGCTGGTCGCATTGGCTTCACTTGTTTGCGGGCCACTACCTCTCTTGGAAACAGTAGCTATTGGCGAGTCCGAGAGACTGGGGAACTTAAATGACATGCCCGATATGCCGTTCTCCTTTCAACTCTCCCCTCGTCTGCGATGTTTCAAGAGTTATGGTATTCCTGGTCCACTTTCAATTGCTTTACCGCTGGAAGGGCTTACGACGTTGTCTCATCGCTCGCCTCGTAACTATAACTCTGATCATTTTGCCTTACTAAAAGAGGCAAAGAATTTGCAATACGCTGAGCTTCTGTGTCTTGTTGACCCATCTGGAGTTGTCCCACAGACAATGGTATCTCATACTAGCTTGCGGGGATTGTATGTCCATTCACAACGCAGGATAGCACAGGATATAGTCCAATTCCTAGACCAACTGGTGCTTCCCGCTTTGACTGAACTGGACATACGTGTTGGAACGTTGACAGCACCGTCGGAGACTGCGGAAGACTCTATCCTTCAATTTATCAAGCGGTCCTCGCCGCCTCTGGAGATCTGCGTGCTCCCCGACCTTGCAATGTCTGACACAGCCGCGCTTCAATTGTTCGAGGCCCTTCTGTATGTCAGAAAACTTGGGCTATATAAAATTCCTAAGGAAGGTATAGCAGCAATTTTGTGGGACGAAAAAACAGACGTAAGACCGCTTCTCCCGAAGCTAGAATATCTCGCGTTGTATGGTCCCCAAACATCAGCTTTCATTGACTTGCCGCTTCTTGTTCACGTAGTCTCTTCTCGTCAGCGAAACCTTCATAATCATATAACTTGCAGCTCCCTCCTTGAGGTTGAGTTAGAACGACGTCTCGATATGACAAGTCCAGTACTTCAAGGGTTGATATCTGCTGGTTTTAGGTTCACATCCAGGTGCAAATAAACTTTGGGGAAGCAGTAGTTTTTAAAACAGCGTAGTGTATGGTTGTGTGTCAGATTGTACATGCTCATACTAAATGGTTGATCTGGAGGGAGGTACTGCATGAGTATAGGAGATCACCGGGAAATATACTCCAGCTGGTTCCAATTTACTGCTACCAGAAAGTTTGAGAAAGTGGAAAGACTGGCCTTCGGGATAAGACATGTTGCACAAAGAAGAAAAAACCTCAATGATGACCAGTTTTGGAAACAAGTTAATTGAGGCAGTTTGCTGGGGGTACATTCCAGACTGAGACTACGCGAAAAGGTAGATCCCTGGATTTCATCCTCTTCCATTAAACGTTGGGGTCATTCATGTATCGCTACTATGTAGTGTTGATGTGCTGTCTGATGAAAGGGAACTTATGTTATTGATGGATCAAGAAAAATTCACGGGTCTACCGATACTATGATTCGACCCGGTTTCGAACCGGGGACCTCCTGTGCTCACGATAAAGTTAACAGAGAAGAGATGTGAGACAGACGTGATAACCACTACACCACCGAACCATATATGCTGAAGCTGTTAAATGTGTACCTCACAAGCGCTTTGGAAATAAATCCATAAAGTTAATCGAGGTTTAGGACTGCTGAGGGCATATTCCAAACTGAGACAATTATAGATCTCCTAAAGGACAGCATTGCTACAGAAAGTCCTCCACCGAACCGTTTGGGCGTCATTCAACATGCGTGTCTGATGAAAAGGAGCTTATCAGTGCGGTTGGGACGAAATCACAACACTCGACGTATACGGTATATGTATGATTCAACCCGGTTTCGAATCGACTTCCTGTGCCCATTCCAAATACCACAATGCATGTGAAATAGACGTGATAACCACATCACCGAACTTTGTCGAACTGAAGGTTAAGCACCACTAAACTTTCTTCATACAAGCACCAACGCTACATAATATGCACTAGGTATGTATTATGAAAGCACACATAGTAGAACATGTTCAGCAAGCAATAATTAGAAAGGTCCAGATCCTGCTTCCGATTCAACAAAGAGGGTAGGTATACAATATGCAGAAGGTAGTAGGAGTGTATGTACGAGAAGTAGATGAAAGTAGATAGGTGTTGATATCAACATTTGACCAGAAAAGATACAGCAACATGAAATTGGCAGGCAAAAAACCAAGAAAAGACACGCCAGTAAGTTCTCCTAATAAGTTGGTGATCCAATGACCGAATCGGAACCTTGAGCGGTAAGCCGACTCTCGAGATTTCGCAAGGACTCTTCCTTGGCCAAAAGCTGTTGGCGTTTTTCGTGAATTTCGCGTTGAACTCTGAGTTCGATTTCGCGGAGCTGAAGGGACGTAAGGGAGAATGAAATAGTTTATCAATTTATTTGACGCCTACCTTTTCCTCTTCCTTCCGAAGCTGCTCCTCCTTGAGGCGGACACTCTGGTTTGCTAAGTCTTCTGGGAGCATCGTGGATTCGCTGGAGAAGAGGGAAAAGAAATAGACGAAGTCATTAAAAAACTTTAACACGTCACGGAGAACACTCACCGAGCTTCCGAATATGGAGTATTCCTAGAAAGCTTCTCGGTACGATACGTCTCGTAAAGCACATCCTCGGTCAGAGACTTAAGGTCGTGGAGGTGTGTGCTAGGCACGTAGAGTCAAAGGTTGATGAGATGAAAGCTTATCTCCAGAACAAGCAGGCAGGCTTACCCGAGGACTGCACTCCTAAGCCTACTGAAGTCGGAATGGTCTGGTTCGTCCACGATAGCTACACCCCACGGGTATACTCTTGCTCGTACAAGTTCGCCGTCGACTTCGATTTCCTCTTCAGAGCCCATTACGGCGAAGGGAAGAAGGGACTGGACGAGGGATACGAAGTCAGTAAAGTTCTTTTCGCCTGAACGGCGGCAGGCAGACGTAAAACACGAAACGGACGCACCCTAAGCTCCTGATTCTCTTGGATAGTTTCTTCGTCGTCTTCCTCTACATCATAGGGAAAGTTATACACTGGGATATCGTAGTGTTGGATATCTTCCATAATCTAAAGCGTTATTCAAGTAATTGATACAGGTAAATGAGAGCGGAAATGAAGAACACTAGCTCACCCGCTTCTTAAATCCTTTCAACTCGCTCACTGTAAGCGAATCCGAGCGACCAATGACCGGAATAACGTTGACTCGATGAGAGAGTTTTTGCATGAGGACAACATCGATCTCCCTCAAGCTAGAAGTAAAACGTAGTGATATCAGGTTAAACCTCAAGAAACAGTACACAATGGACCTACTGATGA